TATTTAACGTGTACGTATGATACTTTTTTTTTTTTGGCTTTTAGGAGTGCCTATAGTTCACTGGAGACGAATCAAATTGAATAATACTTGCTGTACTTAATTATTATTGTAATTTGTAACTTAATTTATATTTATATTTCATTTATTCTGAGATATTTTCATAATATTTAATGTTATCAGAACATCTTATCAATTATATTTTCATGGGATTTTTGCAGCAAGGATGTTAACACCGTAAAGAAACTGGTAGATGATTGTCTATCCTCTCAATTGTCTTCCTCACTTCGTCCTCATGATGCAGTTTCAGCCTTGGGTCCTATGTACGATGTTCATGACAAAAATCACCTGCCCAAAATGCAGGCTTGTGATCGTGCTATTTCAAAGCTACTAGAATTTTGCAAGGAAAACAAGAATGAGATGAATAACTTTGTGCACAATTACACTCGAAACATAACTTATGTTTCTTATCTCATTAAAGATCAAAAACTGCAGTTCCCTGTTTTTAAAGAGGCAATGGCTCGTCAGGATGACTTGTTTGGGGAATTAAAGTTGTTCTACAGTATTGGTGCAGCATACAGAGCTTGCTTTGCTGAGGTAGTGAGACGAAAGGCTTCTATGAAGCTTTACATGGGCATGGCTGGGCAAATGGCTGAAATATTAGCTGCAAAACGTGAGGTCGAAATCAGAAGACGAGAGGATTTTTTGAGAGTTAATAGTTCATGCATTTCTAAAGATGTATTAACATCTATGGGATTGTTTGACAATCCGAACCAGTGTGATGTCAATATAGCTCCGTTTGATGGTGATCTGCTTAATATTGACATATCAGATGTGGATCGTTATGCTCCTGAATATCTAACAGGAGTAACTTCCAAGATGGAGAAGCTAGGAAGCTTTAAAGGTTCAACTGCTTTGAGTAGTGATAGCTCTCATTTGGCTGAGGATGTCCATATTACTGCTGACTTAATTGAGAGATATGATTCTGAAGGTTTGCCAGATGGCAGTGAGTTGATTGAAATTGCTGGAACCTGCAAGATGGAAGTTGAGAATGCAAAACTGAAAGCTGAGCTTGCTGGTAGAATAGCTTTAATATGTTCACTCTGTCCCGAGGTAGAGTATGAGTCATTGGATGATGAAAGGGTGAATAATATGCTAAAGAATGCCAGAGAAAAGACAGAGGAAGCCTTGAATTTGAAAGATGAATATATTAAACATATTCAGTCCATGCTTAAGATGAAGCAAGTGCAATGTATGTCATATGAGAAACGTATTCAAGAATTGGAGCAGAAATTGTCTGATCAGTATATGCTTGGGCAGAAGCTTTCCAATGTAAATGATGTGACTGGGAAGGAAATAAAGTCAGAATCTATCAGCAGTGAAGCTCACATGCCTTCCATATCTACTTCTGAGCCCATGGATGAGGTTTCATGCATCTCAAGTTCCTTGGATGCAAAACTTGGTTTGTTCACAGAACATACAGTTAAAGTGTTAGATGGGGTGGATGAAAACATGTTGGATTCCTCTGGAGTTCAGAACCCACAGTTGGACTCTTCTATGATGGAGCCTCATCGTGAAGAAGCACAGAGTGCTGATAAAGATAAGAAAGACAAGATAATCGGACAATTAGGCATGTCATTAACAAACAGTTCTACTGGTGAGAACATACCTGTGTCACATGACCTTGTACCTTGTGACTCCACAGTTTCTCAAGACTCAGAATCCAAAGTAAATGATGATAAGGTGTTGTTGGAACTACGAAGTACACTTGCAGATAAGTCGGATCAATTGATTGAAACTGAAACCAAGCTGAAAAATGTTATAGAGGAGGTTGTTGTGCTCAAAAGGGAGCTGGAAGCTAGTAAAAAACTACTTGATGAATCTCAGGTAACTGTGGAGTTGAATCATACCCATCATTTTAGGGTTGCAATTTTTTTTAAAATCTGTTGTTTAGTTCTCCTATACTATTTATTATTTGTCTATTTATTTATTTCTCCCACTTTGCTATTTTAATGTCATTTTTTAATTTCCAATTTCTGTCCATTTTCTTCACCTGTTTCATACATTATAGAAGCATGCATTCTATTGGTTATTCTTCTGAAAAGTGTTTAAATTATTGTGTCAAAAACCAAATAGAGAATTTTTTTTATCATCTTTATATTGCTCTTGCCTTGCGACACCCACATTCTTGTTGTATTTTAGTGTCTATAGATCCCATTGAAGTGGTTATAGATGTATTACTAAAAGCAAATTTCCTAAGAAAAATATGCATTAATTTTGTTGTTCTATAAAGCCATGCCATGCAGAGTTTTATTTGACTCTTGTCAGTTGGGAAGTTTACTATAGATAAGCGAGGCTCATAAGGGCATAGTCTTCTGTAGATACATGTTGCAAATCTGTCGGGCTGAACTACAGGCATTTCTGTAAAAAGAAACCAAATTAAGTTTCTTAATTCTTTTGTATATTGGATCTGAGATGAAGTTGAATCCGTATGGTGAATTGAGAATTTCGTTCAAAGACTTGTGTAGGATCAGAAGGATATTGGGTGAATGAACTGTACATGTTGAAGTTTTTTTTTGCCACCGGCTAAGCTTTATTAACTTTATACCCATTTTTGGTTCAGTATTGTGCTTGCCTTCCATATTCTAATGAAATATTTCACTTTCATTACAGATGAATTGTGCTCACTTGGAAAATTGTTTGCATGAAGCAAGAGAGGAAGCTCAAACACAAAAAAGTTCTGCTGACAGGAGGGCTTTAGAGTATAATTCACTACGGGCATCTGTCATTAAAACACGCAGCTTTTTTGAAAGTCTCAAGACTTGTGTTTATTCTCCCGGTGGTGTGGCTGGTTTTGCAGATTCCCTTCGTAATTTGTCGCAGTCTTTGGCCAAGTAATTTACTTATACTATGCCCATTCCCACTGAAAATATAAAATGACTTGTGGTGGTAGGCTTGTAGTGATGAAAACAATTTCTTCACTTATTAGAACTTATAAGTCCCCCATTTTATTACTCTCTCTGTTTCTTTTTGAGGGTCAGATTTTTAAGATTTTTTATGTCTATTTATCTGTTAAGTGATTTACATGTGTATTTATTGTGTGGGGGTGGATAGGGAAAGAGTCAAATTTTATACAACTATTTTATTAGAATCAAGAATTTTTATTATATTTCTTAGTTCACACAAAACAAACTTAAAAGAGTTAAACAAGAACGGAGGAAGTAGTAGGAATGTTCATTCATTAAGTTTGATGTTGATGATAACGAGGTTATTGATAATAAAGGAATTCATTCTGCAATCACTTTGTTAGGTTGACGATTGAGACTTTCTCCAACTGAGTAAACAGTTTTTGCTTCTTTTGTTCTCTTGCATGGAGGAGAATCTGATATAAACATTTCCAACAAATTTCTATGCCATTTTTCATGAACTGGAGAAGATTCCAGGCCTTTGTTTGAGACTGATGCGCTTTCCATTGATATTTTATATTCATATTCATTCTTAACGAATTGCTACTAGAAGAATGATTGGAACACTTATCTTTTTTCAGTTCTGCTAATGACAGAGATGATGATGACATTGCTGAGTTTCGAAAATGTATTCGTGTCTTGGCCGATAAAGTTAGTTTCTTGTCAAGGCACCGGGAAGAGCTGCATGAGAAGTACTCAAGAACGGAAGCTGCTAATGAACAGCTTCGGAAAGAATTGGAGGAGAAAATAGACCAGGTCAAAACTTATTACAATAAGCATCAACTTGAGAAGCAGGTATTACCTTGTTTTCTTAATGTGACAATAAAATGTTTGAGCCTATGAGATGAGCTAGTTTGTATCCACAGCATGGATGGTATTTTACTGTATTTTCTACCCATTTCAAAATTGTGGATTGAGTTATATTCTGCTTGTGATTTTCTGCAGGCAAATAAAGAGAAGATTTCTTTTGGTTGCCTGGAAGTTCATGAGATAGCAGCCTTTGTGCTCACTTCTGCTGGGTATTATGAGGCAATTACCAGGAACTGCTCTAATTATTACTTATCCGATGAATCTGTAGCCCTGTTTGCAGAACATGTTCCAAGCAGACCTAACTACATTGTTGGACAAATTGTGCATATCGAACGCCAGATTGTGAAGGCGGCACCCCCTCGGCCTGAGCATGGTAGGGCTGAAAAGTTTACTACTCCTGACAAAGGGACTGACTGGTTGACCTTGAATTCAGGATCAACTCCAAACCCATACGGTCTCCCTGTTGGCTGTGAATATTTCCTAGTGACAGTAGCCATGTTACCTGATACCACCATTCATTCATCGTCTCCTTCCTGATCCTGCTTCATCCCTGGCAGCAGATTAGACGTGATGGAAGAATTCAATTGTACATAAACTACATTCAAAGTCCAAGTGCTCTTCATTATGCCTGGTTTAACCATTTGTACAGCTGCTGATAATGATAAACAAATTTAGTTTCAATCTCCCTCTGTGAATATTTCAACCCTTTTATGACATTTTGTATAGATTGTGAATATTATTTACAACTTGTTTATTTCGACTTCTGCTGCTCCTTTTTAAATATGATATTTTGATATCTAAAATATATTTAATTTATAACTCGTTTTAATAATATAATGATACATACTAGCATTTTAAGTCAATTGAAAAATATAATTAAAGCGTATTAATTGTTAAATTGGTGATTGCAAGAGGTACTTTTTAAATCCACTTGATTCAAGTGGCTGCAACAGAACCTCTCAAATTACAATGATCTTTTTTTGTTATGGTCAGAGTTCAGAAGTCACAGTTCCCCCCACCTAACAACTTATTGCTATATAAATATCTGTATGTGGCACTCATTTCAATGTGATGACATTCCTTTAATATAATGTTAGGTACGAGGATATCCACCATTCTCCCCGTCTTCAATGTAATAAAAAGTTGATTCACCGTTAAAATAAATTTTGTTGAACGAGTTTAATTTAAAACTTTTACATCTCAAGCACAATAACCATGAAAGTGAAGTTTTAATTTAAAAGTGGCTCTTAGGATTTTCTTATATTTGAAACTAAAGAGAGAAACATTGTAGAAACAAACTAGATAACAAGACATTACTATACATAGAAGTTATATATCTTTTAATACAACATACCTACCTACCAATTGGTGGTTAAAAATCAAGAAATAATACAATGTTTGAATAATAGCTAGGCCCCTCAACTTAAACAGCGGTATTAGCCCAATATTCTATTAGGTAACACATCGTGTACAAATCCTAATGGTTCGAATGGTAAAAAGTTAAAGATGGCGTATTCTCTATGCACAGCTTGATCTTGACCATTTTTTATATTTCAAATATCAGAGTAACTATCAGGTTTAGCAGTCACTGTCATCTTCTGATATGTTAAGCAAGAATTTTGACAGTGAAGCAATACGAGGAAGGTGAAGAAGAAACTCTCCGAAAGAGTCTTTCCTGTACATGCCACAAGAAACATCTCTGAAGTCCACCTCAGCAGGCCTGACATCTATTTTCATTTTGATGTTGTGCATTGATTCAAGATCAATATTTTTTCCATCATCAGGTCCATCAGCAACATTTTCCTTGTCATGTGTACTCTGCAAAGCTGCAGGGTCCGTCTGTAGAAGACAGCAGAGAGAATTGACCCTTGTCATGAGTGATTTTTCATCAGAAGCCGCAATAACTTGATTGTCATTTAGAAGATGCTGTGCAATTTCCTCCAGCATTTCCTGAAAACCTCGTCTTCCATCACAAAAGGACGGATCCCCACAAGTTATTTGTTCCGAAAGGCAATGTTCAATGTGGCCAATAAAATCACTCACTGACATAGAAGTGCGCAGTCCAGGCAATTTTATCTGATCGCAATTTCTTGGGCCCTTGGAATCAGCTTCAGAGCTTGTGCTCCCTTCAATTACACAACAATTCATGAATTTTACAAGAACAATAAGTTAAAACCACACTTATTGTTTGAAATGTTTAAAATAGAATGACATGGGATAAAATTTAATGAAATGGATTCTATTCAAACAAGATTTAAGTTCTTACAGTACCTGAACTGGTGGAAGGTGCTTCACAGGGTGAACTATCCAAGCTAATGCCAAGACGACCATTATACTCATTCTTAAATGATGGTGACGGGGATGAATGAGGAGATCCTATGTCCTGCAAACAAGATGTGGTAGATACTTTTGCATTGACTTGATGGAAATCACGATCTTCTGGATTGTCAAGGTTCTCAAAAGCAGCAGGTCGTGTATCAAAATGAGGTGAATCCAAGATTATCTCAGGTTGCTGGCTTACGAAATTAAGATGTGCGTCACACTGAACAAGCCTTTCAAAATGCTTGGCTAACATCCCTTGCGGAAATTCCAAAAAATGTTGCCTACAAAACCACGGCATGAAGTTCTCAATATCATGGCCTAGTAAATACATAATAAAACCATGAGAAATGATACTTTAACACACAAATTTTTTATATTCATTCAATGATATCCTTTCTTACTTTTTATTTTTTTCTTTTTTTAAAAAATACAAAAATTTACTCTTCTATAACCATTTTATCCTTATAATGTGTATCAAATGAACTTAAATGTGTATCATACTACTATTACTCTAAAACCATTATTCATGAGTCACAAGCCAACAACACAAGAGGACTTAACACCACATTTAAACTAAAACCTTCATAGGTTTGTAGATTATTCTTATTTTTATGTTGCTCAACTTGATCATTTCTATACGATGTAAAACTCCTATTCAATCTTAAACTCTAACATTATTATTATTCAAAAGAGTCCTCTAAAGGCAACAAAAGATAGTGCATCAAATGCAACTCAACCACTCTTCCTCAACTATTTCAGTAAGCTATCTTGCTCTTATCAAGGTTTTATTGAAAGCTGGTTTTCCAGCTCAGCTCAAGATAAATCAACGAAAACCATAAGAAAACTGATCCTATGCAAAACTGTTGAGCTCACAGCCACACATCAGAAGACTGAAAAGAATATATACCTGTGTTTGCCAGCCTCTCCATCGGTAAAATCTGATGTTGTTTGCCATAGTGTATGCTTTCTAGGCTGAGGATTAGTCTCTTTGAAGAAAAGAGGTTCTCTTGCGAGCTGCAATACACAAACACACCAATAGTTCAATGAAAATGAAACTGAACATTCAGCCAAACATACGTGTTTGTATCATTGTATTGTAAAAGAACACTCAAAGTAGCTGTATAGAGAGGTATGAGAACAAATTACAGCTACAGTCAACGAGCTAGGTCCCGTATCAGGACAATTTGCCTTAAGTGACATGATATCTGACCACTGGATTTCCATTTTTCTCTTTAGTTCGCCTTCAAGAACTTCCCAAACTAGCTTTCGTTTAGCGAAGTAACATTTCGCCACTAAATCACCCTCGTGTTTTGATTTATACTGCCACAAAGAGAGACATCCTTGAGTTATTTAAAACTCAATGAAAATAATAGTTTCCCAAAATTCTAGAGACTAGTAGTTATATCTAGAATATACCTCCCACGAACCAATTCTTAAAAGTGAAGCTGGGAAATTTGAAGCCTTAAGCTTTTCAACAGAGCCTGATGCAGCCGCAGCCGGACTTTCCCTTTTCAAACCAGAGCTTAAATTTTCATTTTGTGTATTTGCAATAAAAGTAGTCCCTTGAGAAAGCTTCTTCTGTATCAAATGTAATAGCGAAGGGCTCTTCCTAAGACGTAAACCCAGAGGGCTAGGCTCATCAAGTATATTGTACTGGGGAGGAGAACTGGAAGCTGTACTATTTGAAGCATGCCATTGCTAAACATGCACAAGGAGAAAAGGAAGTTATCAAAGTGAGCATATATTAAACACGCAGCTTACAAAAAATGAGTACAAAGAACACAAACAAACAAATCCTTAAAATCTTGAACTGTTTCATCTAAGTATTTAAACTTGATCTTATTTTTCCAGTGATATAAACTTTTGAATTTTGGATTAATATGTTTGATAGATTGCATTCTTAAATACTTATTTAACATGACAGTACAGTACAAGTTTTTTAAAAACTTTCTCTGTGATATGAAAAATGCATGTTCTTCTATGATCTCAGCTTTATATTACTGACACTTCTCGTTCAAAGATTAAAACTGATAGACCCCTGGCACAGGCTTATCTATCTATCTTAGAAAAAGGATGATGATATTGAAAAGGATGAGAAACCTCTTGTGAAGCGGATGAAGGTTTGAAACGCTTATTGAGAGGAGCATGCTCTTCTTGCAGCGGTTCCTCCACCTCCAACTTGAACGACACCGTTTCTAGATACGTCATGAAACTCGTTGGTAGAACCATGAAAAACTTTGAGTGAAGCAAGAAATGGTGAGTCGCAAAAACCCTTAAAAAAGAAAAAGAAAACGCGGAGAAGACCAAACCAAACAAGAAAAAATGGAACTTTTGATTTGGTTGGAGTTGGTTGGCAACTGGCGGAAAGAAAACAAAACATCCTTCGATGCTTCTGAGGTGCAGCGCGTGAACGTGATCAATGGCGCGTGCGAATCTTTCAACTGTCTAAAGGAAGACATTTGCTTAGTTATTGTCGGCGCGTGTGCTGGCATACACACATGAAACGAAATGGGTTACGGATAATGTGGGCCCTTCTTTTTTCGCTTTTAAGTCACGTGGCCAATGGTTCAAATATTTTGCCAAGTGTACTCTTTGCATTCAACGACAATGGATAAGAGGGCGTTTTCACGTTTTGCATTCTCAATTTTACCTTTTCCTTTTGCTATTTACATTTTTTTATATTGCTCTTTCAAAATTTTCCACTTTTTTTACATTGTACATATTATACTATGTTTAAGAAGTGCCGTATAAATTAAGGAGAGAGTCATGGGATAAACATAAATTTTAGAATTTTCTTAATAATTTTTGTTTAAATCTTATTTTATTAGTTTTTAGGTATAGTAATATTTAGTTTGATTGGATAGAGATAAAATAGGGATACGTAGTTATGATTTTTGATTTATATAGATACTTTATTATTTTATTTCATTGATATAAGATAGAGATAAATTAAGTAGATTTTATTTTAAGTTAGTTGATATTCTATTGTCAATTTTTATTTGTATTTGGCCCAAGACCCTATCTGCACCTATTTAAAGGTTGTCGATATTCAATAAAAAGTGACCCAGTGAATTGAAGAGTATTATTATTTGTGTGGGTCACGTTTTTCTCAACAGTGATATCAGAGCCGACCGTATATAAAGATGAAAGACTTATTAACACATTGCTTTAAAGTTTTGGATAAAGAATGATGTTGATCCCTTATATAGTTGGCTCAAATGTTATTAATATTTATATAACCCATATGCCCTCTCGATAGACCCAACGTCTTGATCTCTCTAATTAAACTATATTAACATTTTGTTGATTAATGTTTTGGGAAGGAAGTAACTTCTAAGAAATATTATCAAAAGTTCAAAGGAGACGAAGATCGCATTTTGTTTTAAAAAAAATTAAAGCATTAATTTATATTTACTATCCTAACTTCTTAAAAAAGGAATGATGACAACCCGTTTGTATTTACTCTTTTAACATTTGATGGTATTTGATTAGTTGAAATTTCTTCTACCCACATATTTTTTATTCAAACTTGTTGGTTTATATGTTAAAGAGTATTTTTAGAGTAAAATAGTCACTTAAAATCTTAAATATAATATTTTATTTTTAAGAGATCTTTATCTAAAGTTATATTAAAAATTTAAGATATAAAAGGTGGGTTTTTTAAGAAGAACACTCAACGTCCTTAGAAAATATTTTTTTTATATATTCTTCCTCTAAAATTTAAATTGATAATTTTTTAAACTAATAAAAAGTTACTAGTGAAATTTATTATTAAAATAAAAATTAAATTAGATATTATATCCTCTGTGACATAAACAATACTATGATATATATATCATTACAAAAAAAATTAAATAGTAAAACTAAAAATAATTAGTCACTCTAATAAATAATTTATATATTAATTTGTAAATTAAAAATTATTAGTAGTTAAAATAATTTTTATTATAAATAAAAATTATAATTGGTTTCTAAATTAATAACTAGAATAATTTCTACATAAATTAGGATTTAAATTGATGATTAATATTAACTACCAAAATTTTAATTACTAAAAAAAATTAGTTTTTAAATATATATTTTGTCACTTCATTATTTATGAATTTTATTATAATATATATTTATTATTTAGGAAGGTGTGGTTGCATAGTGACCAAAACTCCTTAATAAAAGGTTTTAAAAAAGCAAAATTATGTTTTTGACATGTCTAAGAACATGTCGTTACGAATTTATAAATATACTATGAAGCGTATTCCTTTTAGATTATCTTTATTTTTCTTTGTAAAATATCTTCAATAATAAAACTATTTTGACACTGATAATTCTTCTGTATAAATTTTAGGAATTGTTTTTAAGATAAAGAGAAAATATGTGAAGGAAATAGTTATTTGTCGTATTTTCACAAAAGTTGTTCCGTACCGTTTTGCTGATTAAGGAACGGTACTTCCTGCATCATAATTTTTCACTGTCTTTTTATTAATGATTTTTTTGACATTTTTATAAGTGTTTTCTTTGGAATCTTTATTAATGATTATTAATTTTTATCAATCATTATTAACAATGCATTTTTCCTTTTCAAAGCATCATATCACTCAAGAGTCTTGGTTTGTTTGTAATGATTTATCACTGAAAAAAAATTTACGGATGATTGTTTTGGAATAAAAATACATAAGTAAAAATATGAAAGGAGGAGAATTGATTCTCCTCTTGCCAAATCAATTCCCCTCCTGGATATTGCTTTTATACGAAGTAATAGTGATAATGATAAATTATTATTATTCAAATTTATTCCTACAAATATTTTTTAATTTCAATTTTAACTTTTTTTGTAATTTTAAATAATAACTTCCTTTTCAACATAATTTTACTATTTATATTTAAATTTATATCATATTTACTTAGTAAAATAGTAATCGTATAATTTTATTTATCAAAACGTTTTTTTAATTTCTTATACTCATTATATTATATACAAAATTTTATCTCAAATTGTATAATCTTTCTCTTGATCCAAACAATCCTGAGAGTGCAGAAACATAATTTGTTATTAATTAAATTTATTAAAAATTTCAAAATCAAGAAAGAATCATACTAAACTTTATAACTTTGAACGAATTTCAACCAACAAAAAAAATATAATTTGATACTTAACATGAAAGGAAGAACGCAAAACTCAGTTTCAAGTTATCTACTCATGTTCCTCGAAAAACAATGATAAACTGTGTATCCCTTAAATTTTACCTAACAAAATGTTAGCTACACACTATTCAACATATTTTTTTTCATCATTATTAGATAGAAATCATGAGTAAATTCCATCTAACAGTAAATAGTATTTTTAAAAGAATGATTTATAAACAATTTCGTTAATATCCCTCTTCCGTTTTGATGAAGTATCCCTCATTACATCGTAAAAAGAAGAAAATAAAATCAAGATATACGCAAGAAGGAAGCTTGATTTTTCTTTAGCTATAACTTGAATTCGAACTTCATGCATAAAAAAAGTACAAAAGTTGCACATCCGGAACACCTTGTTTCAACTTATCAAATATGTAAAGTAAAAATATACCAGCTACACACTTTAACTACTCTTCGTTATTAGATAGAATTCATGATAGATTCCACATATGTATATCACGTAACAGTAAATAGTAATATGAGAAGAAAGTATTGTAGAGTATTTTGTTAATATTTCTCATTCTACATAACTCACCAAATAGATTATGATGCTCACGTGATTTTTATCATAGCTTACCAAACAAATCCAGAGATAAACAGGAAGATGGGAAATAAATAGCAATACTGGGATGTCAATAAATACCCATGTTACATGACACAGAAAGGTAAATCACATTCTTAAGATACCGATGTCTCAATTAGCCAAAACAAACTGTATTCATTTGAAAGCAGATTAGAGGCGTCACCATTCACAACTAAACACAGCTAGGCTTTTGACTCAGTTTTGCAAACACGACATCTATTTAGCATTTCTGTTTACTTTCAGATATGGCAAGGCTCCAATTACGTTGTCATAGTCGCTCCTGCTGACCGGATGCTGTGCAAGACGATAAAAAGAAAATTAAGACACGAGAAAACCAATCCCATAATTTAATAAAACAATCCAAATTCTAGCCAAAACATTTATTATAAATAACTCAAGGTCAACAAGAATAACAGCTGAATCCAGCCGTGTCATTCTAGAAATTCAACTACTGTTGAGATAGATATAGATTAGGCAGAAGTTATAGATAGCTGTATTCACATTAAGTTATCAAATAAAATTGAAATAGTTTGTTGATATTGGACAAGAAAATCACGGATGCTTAGTTAAATTAGGATTTTGAAATGAGCACAGAATATATGCAACTTGGAATAAACTGCTCAAGGCAGTTCAGTGACATATGACTGAGACTTTGGCTATGCTAACTTGGAGGATAAAAAAAGAATCAATGACATGTTTTGAATATCAGATGCTCCAAAAGGCTTGTTCACCATACACATCAAGTTCAAAACTGTTACAATCTCCAAATTTCAATTATACACAACACATATCCCTCAAAATCAATCAGGTACATCTGAAAATAATTGTACCATTGCAGAGTTTTTCACATCATCTCTACAGATTAAATTTCAGATCCTAATACAAACAATGATGAAAATGCTAACAGCTGAGTGGCATTAATTAAACAATTAAATATGGAAAGCTTCTACGGAGAAGTGTTAGGAATGCAAACCTCGCCCCCATCATGATTTCTTACAAAAATTTCTTTTTATTATTCCTTAACCAGTTCCCTTAAATCACTCATTAGTAGGACTCTACAATAATTATCTGACAGAAGAAACCCATTACAGACAAAGTCCACATGTAGGAGACAAGAAATAAGCATTCTAAACTTGAATTTGGTATTGGTGAATGTTGGATTGCACAAAATTAGAAACCATTAAGAAAAGAATAGATTAACATTTCATAGGAAAAGGAGGGAGAAGGTTCAATTGAATATTTTCTAACTTGTTATTTCTTGCAAGCTCTTTCTCCCAAAATAAGATAAAAATTGCTTTCAAGTATCAACACTAAGACATTGAATGCAACAAACTATCATATGGCATCCATTAAACAAGGATAAACAAAATGCATCAACTAAATTGAACTCTAAAAGTTGTTCAAAAAAACTAGATTGAACTGTATAGTTGTTCAGATGAAATAAACTGGACAATATAATTTGACGAAACTGAGCCGAACTAAACTATTTTGAATTATTATCAACGAATATCTTATTTTAAAACATATTTTCAATCTTATAAGATGTAGTTCAGTTTAGTTCAAGTAATTCTATTTAAGAACTATTCAGTTTTTAAAGAAAACTAAAAATAACAACAATTCAGGATTCTATGAAATTCACTTGAATATCAATTTAGTTCAATTCAAATTGTTTTTTAACAGTCTTAACTACATCAGTCACTTAAAGTGTGGTTGTATTAATTTGTGCAATGGAAAGTGAAAAACTTCCGTTCAACTACAACCTTAATCGAACATTACTTATGCAATGCAGATTTACTTTTTCTATGCATAAGGGAAGAAGTTTTAAAGTTTGTTTGAATAATTTTTTCTCAAAGCACATAACAGAAGAAATAAGAAAGAAAATAACACAGACTTCTCTACTTTTCATATAAACTTTTCCAAAAGATGATTTTTAATCTATATGCATCTAAGCCGATTTTAGTTTATGAAGAAGGTTTTTTTTAAGGTATTGATGGGAAACAGTATCCAAATATATATCAAATCTTGAGTTTATGTTCTGGTGAAATGGGAGAGCAGATTAGAAGACAGAATTGACCCTCCAAAGGCAACGCTGTTCTTCTATCTCATAATTAACACCACAGCAAAGAAACTAGCAAGCACACTAAGGTTGTCAAGTTATAATGAAATGCAGTCTAAACAAGGAAATCTAACAAAATGCACAACCAAGCCCCAAAGGCAACTGTAGAACAATCAAAGCAGTCATTGGCCACCACAAAATCCATCACGCCTAGACAATTCACCAAAACCGGGTAACAAAAAGTGCGCTGGGAACATTGACTTGATTAGGTTAAGCAAGGAGAAAGTAGAGAGGATGATAATGCCATAAACATAATCTAACCATTTTGGAGAGTCGTAATTTGCGCTTGGTGTTCTTCTTGACAAGCAAATGCTGCTTGCCAGCTCTCCTACGAACAATTTTGCCTCGCCCCGTGACCCTAAACCGCTTTGCCGATGCCTTTATCATCCATTAACCAAATTCAATTTCGAAAAACCCGAATGAAGTCGGAAAAATAGAGAAAGAGAGAGAGAGAGAAAGAGACCTTGTGGGTTTTCATTTTGTAGCCCTTAGCGGATACAATGGTGAGAGGGCGAAGGGTTGGAGGGACAGGAGAAGGAGTTGTGCAGAGCTTTTGACGAAGAAGTGGGGCGGAGATGGAAGCTGAAGAACTAAGATTGAGGGAGTTGGCGTTGTTGGATGTAGGGAATCGAACTGAAGTGTAAGAGAGACGAATTGAAGAAGAAGAAGAAGCGCAAGGTAAAAGTCCCAAGCCCAACGACACGGTAGCCATCTTCAGTGTGAGGTGAGCTCAGCTTCGTTTAACCCAAACTTCTGGTCTATGGATAAAGCTGAGGTGCTAACTGCCTATGCAGCCAGGGAGAGCTAGCTCTTGTCCTCTAATTTTTCTCCCTCACATTCACCTCATCACAATTTCTTTTTATTTTTTAAGTTTGCTTTTTTACAGTTACAATTAATCTTTGTATTTAGTTTTATCACATTCAGTCAGGATGGCCGAGTGGTCTAAGGCGCTAGACTCAAGTTCTAGTCTTCGAAAGGGGGCGTGGGTTCAAATCCCACTTCTGACATTTTTTTTCTGATCGAAAAAACTTACATTAAAAATCAACAAAAATATGCTGCAAGGTATAAAAACTCCACATCCAGTTTTGACGAAAAAAAATGCCAAAATTATTTCAGAAATAACATTTAAAATTTGTCTTTTAAATAATAATATATTAATATAATTTTTCAAAATTACCTTTAAAATTCGAATTCTATTCTCTTAATTTTTTAACTGATAAATTAATACATCTTCACCTAATATATATAGTTGTCAATCGTCTTGGGGCTTCTAATGACCAGAAATAACAAGTTAGGCTGCAAAGACACGATATCATAATAACGTTGCTCTGCAATGGGACAGATCATGAAAACATGATTACTTATATGATTATACTGCACAAATATCATTATTAGGATCACTTTTTCCCGAAAGAAACTCCTCCCAACCAGCTCCATTGTGTCATCTTTACAGGCATCAGTCCCGCCAAAGAGAAAAGATCTCTAAAAGCTAAAGAACTGTTAACATTATATATAATCTTGAAAATTTGAAGTTCCAGCCTTTTCGCCTGCAGTCAGAACCTCTTCCCTCCCTCCCCAGCACAAACAAATAAGGTGGTATTACATAGTTAACATGTTTTTGTCCTAGTAAAAAAATGGAGTTTATACGAATCTAAAATAATAAAATCTAAGGAATTAAAAATGTAACGAGGCAAACTACCAAGACACAATACTTTTCATATTCACAAGCTATATCACCTGAGGTCTTCAAACTCATTCGCTTTTCTGCCTCTAAATATCTAATTCTAATGGATGTAGATTCTGCAGATTTCCTCCTTCTGGAGAGAAACTAGACATGATGGGCATTTGCAGACAGCATGCTTTCGTTAAAGACAAATTGTATTAACATAGAGAAAAATGGATATTTTTCTGTCAAAGGGGAAGTAGTACAGTAGATTGCGATTGTTGGAGACAACGAAAATGTACAACTAAAACATAAATATTACAGCTATAAATTAAGAGTAAATTTGACAGATACAGCATTTCATAAGCAATGCAGTCCATCTCTAGAGTGCAAAAGATGACGAAGCTAATTCCTCCGGTGTCACAGGATCGTGCAGCTGCACTCACAAGCAAATATAAAGTAAGGATAAGGTAAACTTAAAACACCGAGGCAGTTAACATTAATTTGTCTATTTCTAATATCTTTTGAATCATTGAAATGAAGTTCTTTGTCATATGCTATTTTGATGTAATGAATGGGAGAAAGACACAATAATTGACAAACAACAAATCAGAATCATTTAAATACAAGTCTCTTCGTTCCCGTCAGCATTTTATTTACTTTAAATTTTGAATGAATTTGCTGAAATTCAAAGTGCATGAACAAGGGCCAGAATTTGTGCTTCTGGAGGTGCATCCTCTACCCAACAAGAACTTCCACGCCTGAGAGACGAAGCCGGTAATACATGGGCTACCTTGTTCTCTGCCTCCCAAGTCCTAGTATGCAAACAATTTAAGTTTCTAAACAGAGAGGACAAAGTTCTAAACAATTTAAGTCTGGACAGTGCCTTGAGATAATCAGGTGGAGCCATTCCAAGTCCAAGCTACTAGCCTAGCCTCCACATACGACATTCAAGAGGAAAAATCCTCTTAACGTCTACACAAGTCACAACTCAACAAGCTTTGGGCTAAATCTCAATTAATTTCTAGACTAACATTGTGTGATTGGAGAGAAAGACCTCATAACATATAATCAAGAAGCAATTTCCCAAATATATGGCAATCAAATGCACATACCATGAATTTCCCAATGCATAATGAAGAAAAACAACACTGAAAAATTCGTCATTGTACAAACAGTAAATACTGAGTTTTAATGTAACCAAAATGTCCAATAACTAAATCAAACTACCGCACTGCCATAGTGAGTGAATCAGAAAATACTTACAGCTTTTGCAACAGTAAGCCAATGAAAAGCTCGGAGCATTTCATCGTTATGGGAAGGAACGTAGTCATGGTTCCAATAGGTAATGTCCTGAAACGTTGCTTTGGTGACCCAAGAATTCGAGTATTGTTTAGACGACGGAGGCGATGTTTTCTTAGCCAGAACAAAACCTACAGAGCCACAGACAGGAACAGAAACCATTCATTCATTTTCATCAATTGTTGTCAACAACAAAGAAAAGTTAAATTTAACATATAAATATGAGAGAGGGAGACGAAGATAATGATATACCAGAGTAACCGTGAGGAAGTTGGAGAGTGGTTCCCTGGAGTAGCCTTCCTCTGAAATGCGCTTCCTGTAATGGCAAACCTTCGTCAGAGACGCCATTGGGTTTGGGTTTGAAGTAGTGGGAAACGGAGGCGGGACCGTCGTGCTTGACGCAGCAGGGGAGTTGATGAACGCAGCCGCTCAAATCTTCTCCATGTGGCTTGAGATCTACGGTGGCGTTTTCCATGTCGGCCTTTGCTCTTCCAATCCACACCGTTGGGTTCTGTCGAGGGAGGTACGACACTGGAGGCGCGTATTTTGGTTTTGCCGCTAAAATCAAACCCCAATTCTTAATTAACATTCTTTCCTTCCCTCTGCTTTTATTTCCTCCCAAACCAAACAGGACTCAGGCAAAATTAATATAAGATACGTTACTTCAAGAAAATAAAATTAGGTGTGTAAAAAATTTAAAAATAGTTAACAAATTGTAGTGAAGTCTGAAACGAAAAATAAATTTTAAATTAAAATACATCTGGTTTTACTACAGTGAAACAAAGTTTGAGTGAGTTGAGTTTGCTATATCTTGATAAGTCATTGAAATTGAATCAATCGAACGGATGAATTAGTAGTGATTGCGTAATTGGAGTGATTGGTTAAACTTTAATATACTATTAGAATTTGAAAAAACTAAAAAATACAGTACAAAAAATTAAATTAAAAATATATATTTCATAATTATTAGATAAAACTAAGAAAACAAGACTAACATCGTGTATAATCAATATTCTTATTACATATAGAATTCAATAAATATATATTGCATATAATCACAGACTCGCTTCCAGTTAAAAATGAAATACGTAATTAATTCACGGCATTGAAGTATGCAAAAGTTAGCTATACAATAATTAATTTTATGACTTTCATTCATTTAGAATTTAATAAATACATGTAAGTTGTAGCATGTAGCTGCTATCACGAATTTACCTTAATTTATTGGTTTGTTTGTTGCAGCCGATATGGAGTAAAAAGGAAGAGATGGTGCTGAAAATAGCGGGCTTCACATGAATTTCAATTCCTTGGTAGAGGATTAACAAGAAAAAAAATGAAAATATCTGCTTCCATTCTTTTCGTTTTCTTCTTTCTTCTAAACATAAATTAAAAAAATAAATCCTCGTGTTCACATTAACAAGGGAATGCACTTTAGGTAATTCGGGTGGTTGGTAGTAGGAATTGGTAGAATGTGCCCCTTTGAGTCACTTTTCGCATGCTACATATTGTACAATCCCAAAATCCATTTGCGTGCAAATGGCTTTACAAAACGAATAGAACATTGCGGAATACATAAAAAGGATAAATAGTCCGTTAAAAGCTCCACTCCTTTGTATCACTTGCAATTTTATCCTTTCTGAAATTCAAGCCACCAAATGGTAGAAACTCTGAATGTTATTGTCTTGTCAATATGGCCACTGCTTCCCATTCTAAACTACATATCACATCCTGCATAGTAGTCGTATATCATCAGAAAGGAAGTTACCACTTTCATCTTTTCCTTACTTTCTCTTTCTACCATTTCTATTTTATTAATGTAAACAAAAACTATTTACAGTGCGTTTGTTTCTCCATTTAAAAAATCCATGGAGTTTCTCACTTTCCTAGCAACCAAGGATAAGTGTGACAACGAAGAAACAAGCACACTTGATCTGTTTTTAAGAAACGAAAAATTAAGAGCTAAAAAGCAACAACAAAATAATTCCGTCATAATAGTAATGCAAAGAGTATTAGCTGCCAGTCACTTACCGATGGATTATGTCGATCAATATCAAAGCTGTTGATTGCACAAGCTTCAGCTAAAAGCTCAACAGGTTCCTCACCTATACAATAAAGACGTCACAGAAGCACCAAATCAATCCCACCATTTCAGTATATTCAAAAGCTGTTTGATTTGGAAAAATTCTAGCTTAGCTTTAATTGCAAAAAGGCCCCTTCTTTTTTACCATTTCCTATACAAATATTAGAAAACATAAAACAAAACGAAAATGCGGTGATATTTTGGTAATTAAAAACAAAAAACAAGTAATGAAAACAGAACATTAAGAACAAAATAAACTGTTTTCCTAAATTTTCTGGTTCCACTGACTTGTAAACAGACTGTAAATTGCACATTAGAATTTTGCAAATTCCAATTAACATACCTTGCTCAATCACTGCGAGAATTCCATCCTCTGAGCAGATCATGGAAGGTAAGATCCGGGTTGATGAAGTGTTTGATTTTATGCAACGGTCATACTGTACCTCCCAAACCTCGCTTTCACATATTGACTGGATCATAGTGTTGCTGGCTCCAGTCCCAGCCCCTGCACCAGAAAGTATAATTGGTTGTTGCTGCCACCTAAGATCCCAAGCAAAAACAGTACCCAAGGAGCCACCAGCCTGAGCATATATTATAATCCCAGAAATGTCAGCAGCATACAAGAAAAAGAACTACGCATCTCTAAGGTTCGAAACCACCAGTTTAATTTATTAAAATCTGATACAAGAAATCAACTATCACTCATTCTTTTATTCATTTATGTCAGAGCAGTCGTTAATGCAGAAGTGAAAGACAGACAACAGCTCCCATAA